TGTAATATGGACACTCACTTGACACACTTGTGGAGATCAGATGACACTTTACAGGAGCTGGCTCTCTCCTTCTGTCAGAGGGTTCCCGGGAGACACTTGGGTCATCAGGTTTGGTGGAACAAGAGACCTAGGCTAATTTAGAGTCTGTTCAAACACAGCACATTCCAAGTAAAACAGTCAAAATGAACTTAGTTCAGGCTGGGGAGATGGCTCAGTGGGTAAAGCCCTGGCACACCTGAGTTCCCATCCCCAGAACCTTGGGTTAAAGGGAGGCATGGAAATGTTCATCTGTAATCCCAGTGCCTCTGTGGAGAGATGGGAGGTGGAGACCGGAGAGCACCCAGAAGCTAACCAGCCAGTCAGCCACCACACGAGGCAGCAAACAATGAGATACTGTCTTCCACAAAGTGAGAGATGGAGACCGCCATCCAAGGTTGTCTTCTGACCTGTCTGTGGCGTTAAAATGAGAGTAAACTAGATTATTAAAGGAAGGAAAAGTGGTGAGATTAACTTATAAACATTTACATTTGGCTAATTGAAATGTTTCTCTTACCCAACCTGTCAGGGGGTTCTTGTCACAAAGGAGACCAGTGGCTTTTGTCTGGAAGGTTATTTCCCTCCTATTGGTAGTTTTTGAGGAACCAGATTTTTGTTGTCCCTTGGCTTAAGAGGAGTGCTCCCACAGGACATGATGATGTTTGGAGTGGGGTGTGATGTGTCCTCAGCTCTTTCAGTACCCTCCTCACCCTCCCTCCTCACTCTCCCTCCTCACCCTCCCTCCTCACCCTCCCTCCTCACCCTCTCTCCTCTCCCTCCCTCCTCACCCTCCCTCCTCACCCTCCTCTAATCCAGACAGTTTAGCTAAGTCCACTATGGTCCCAAAGGATCACTAATATGGCAGAACTAGAGCTCAGAAATGATGAATTCTCGGCTGAGTTTGAGTCATCGTCTAGATGTAAACAACAAATCCAGACACACTGCCTGCTGCCGTAGGCTGAGGTCATTCTGTGTGGTCAGTGGACCCAGTCCCTGCTCTACAGTGGCTCCACCGTCATATTTATGTTCCCAGCCCCAGCTGTGTGGCTCCGGCTTCCTTATGCTGTAATGTGGCCTTATTTTAATTAAATGCAAGCTTATTTTCCCCTTCTGGGTTGAGTGGAAGGAAAAGCACACAGGAGCACAGTGCAGACACTGCAGAGAGACCCTAGTCCTGCTTTCTGATACTTTGTCTTCATTTTCTCCAAGGCAGGAAACAGAACTTTCAGCCTCAGGTCAGAGCTGAGATCTGGGCAGCCCTCCCTCCCGGACCTTTAGGAGGTACAGCCTGCAACATCTCCATGCACTTCTGGCAGGAGGGTGGCAAGAGAAAGAATTGTTTGGATGCTAAGAACAGAGGAAGACTGAGGCAAAACAAATCCAGTGACCAGAATTGTTTGAGAGACGGGCACATTTTCCTGTGCCTTCAGCTGTCTACAGCATGTGAAGTCCAGTTGACATAACCAACATGACACCATGAACACATTGGCTTTGGCAGTTATCTAAGGCTTGGTTAGCTACCCAAATCACAAATTGAAATACCAGGAACAGTGAGCAGGGTTCAAAGCAGGAAGATGGTCTTGGAAGATGGTCAGCATGAATGAACTACGGGAGACCATCAATGTAAATATACACACCTTAGGTCATTCATGCTGCCATCAGTACTAGAAGATTTTGTGTTAGTGTAACGATTGTTAGAAAGAGTCTCATTATGGAAATTAGTGGAATACAGGATGTCTTATGTAATGAACAAAATGTGAAATCAGCCAGGCCTGGAATCGGTACCCTGAAGGAAAGCAAGCACCGGAGTTTGACCTTCAGGAAAGCAAGCACCTGAGTTTGACCTTTAATGAACTTGAGTCTGATGTTAAGTCAGGAGGGATTGACCATGCCCACAGTTGACTGATATTATATCAACTACCCCAAGAAGAATAGGTTCTCCAAGTGGATATTGAGTTGGAATTTGGGTTCTGAGAAAGTTATATATAGAAAGTTTTCCCATTCCAAACAAGGAGAACAATTTTGGGTCTCTCTCAATTTAATCTCAGAGAATTTTTAATTTAAGACTTGACACCAACCCTGACACATTTCCCCCTCCAGACGTTCTAAGGAGTGACCTCATTGTCCCCAGGCTTTTCTTAGTGATCCGAAGTCTAGTCTGAAGATCAAGAGATGGATATTAATGTCTTGCTGAAAGGTCTTTTTCTGTAGGAGAAGTTCTCTTCACTTCTGGCATCAGATATGTGAATTTTTCCCATACCAAGCAATAATCAATTCTCTGCAGACACCTACTGGTGTCACACAATTTAACTCAATTCTGATACTATCCACCTGGTGACAGCATCAGATCTCATATGACCCCACCACTGCATGCATCTACCAAAAAATCTAAGTTCTTGCCTGTGTTTCAGCCAACTGGCTGTGAATCAGAGGTTCCCTCCTTGGCTAGAGATGCTCAGAGCATGTAGGGAAGTACTTTATACACTAGTCCTGGCTTACTATAAAAAGGCCCAACTTAGGGGCAAGAAAACAGAAAAGATGTCCAGGGCTGGGTGAAGGGCAAAGGACACAGAGCTGGAAGTCAGATCCAGGAATGCCACTCTCCGAGCAGAAGCTCTGAGATTCCAGAGTGCAAGCCATTCTGCTATGGAGCCTCTTACCAAACAGAAGCTCTCTAAGCCCTGCCTGCCCTTGGGCCACTTGTGAAAGCCTCATTACACAGGTGGAGTTGATTAAATCATTAATCACTAGTGATTAATTCAACACCCCCCAGCCCTTCTTCTCCCCATTTGGTAGGGGGTTGAGGGGGGCTGAAAGTTCCAGCCCTTTAATCACTAACTGGTTCCCATGGCAACCATCATGAGGTTACCCAGGCATCCCCAGCCATCAGTCATCTCTTTGTCATATGAAAAGATTCATCACTTTAGAGGGTCTATGTTTTTAGGATCTGTGTGCCACTAAGCAGGGGCAAAGACTATTTGTGGCAATCATTACAAATTACAATATCACACTATTCAAATCATGAAGAAATATGACTGAAATTTATAGGTGTATTTTGCAGTGGGGAAGAGGTGATGACAAATGAGATTTTATGTTGAATCTGCAAGTTGAATTTTATTTTCTAATATAGGCTAATGAAATCATCTTACATTCAGGAAACACCTAACTATGAGCCAGGCATAGTGTGGGGGAAGGCACTCATGTCTCCACAGTGAAATATTATTATCTGATTTCAATAAGGGGAGACAGACAATAATACCACATGCCAAGTGTGCTGCCTCTGCAGGCAGGTGTAGATCTGAAAACTTTTCCGGAGAATTTTCATTCACATTGGTACTAAAATCATCCAGCAGGGAATGACATTTCCAGGCCTGTTAGAGGATGTAGGAAGTCCAAAGTGAAGAGCCTGGGTGGACCAGCATTGGATGCACAGTACAGTCAGATGCTAAACAAATGTGGATACCTTCCTGAAGGGAGTGGCCTGTACAAGGTGAGCCACTCTATCATACAGTCCTATAGATTTCAAAGTGGTAGCCTAAGAAATTTCAGTGCTTCTTTGAATGTGTCCCCCAAAACGTCATGTTTCCAAACTTTGCCTTTGGTTACTTTATTGGCTTTCTAAGAAGGGGAGGAGACTCAAGCTAGGTCTCTGAGTCTGCCTCTGTATTTGATTTCTTCTGCCCTATTTCAATGCATCCAGGAAGCCCTCAATTGCTAGTGTCATGATTCTCAGCTTCCACAGCCACAGACTAAATAAAACTCTATTCTTTATACATTACTGAGTATTTTGTTAAGACAAAAAAAAAAAAAAACAGACCAAGGCACATGTGCTGTGGGATGGTCTGTATGTCAAATCTGTTGCTCTGATTGGTCAATAAATAAAACACTGATGGCCAGTGACCAGACAGGAAGTATAGGCGGGACAAGGAGAGAGGAGAATTGGGGAAACAGGAAGAAGGGGGGAGAGACACTGCAGCCACCACCAGGATAAGCAACATGTAAAGACGCTGGTAAGCCACCAGCCACGTGGCAAGGTATAGATTTATAGAAATGGGTTACTTTAAGATAAAAGAACAGTTAGCAAGAAGCCTGCCACCGCCATACAGTTTATAAGTGATATAAGCGTCTGAGTGATTATTTTATACGTGGATTGTGGGACTGCGGGGCTTGGTGGAACCTGGAGAGAAGCCCTCCAGCAACACACATGGTCAAGGCCCTGCCTATCACTCACCTTTCTCACCTTATTCTATCTTACTTGTTTTCAGTTTTCCTCTCTTTTCTACTTATAGCTTGAAAGTGGGACCCAGTTGTTATGTTTTAAGTTTCAAAACCATTTATACAAGCCACCAAGAATCAGTCACAGAAGGTCTTCAATGAAGGAAGGTTAATGACCCTGTTTATGTTTTAGAAAGTTGACTTTGGCTGGAAAGTAAGATGAGGAGTAAGGAAGGAGGCACAGAACAGGGTGGGGATTTGCCGAACTTATCAAAGGGCCTATTTTAAAGAGTCTAAGTGGAGATGGTGAGAGTGGAAGTGTGGACAGAGAGGGAGAGGAAGACAGTTGTGGTGGCTTGGATGAGAATGGCCCCCATTGGCTCATATGTTTGAACGCTTGATCCCTAATTAGTGGAACTGTTTGGGAAGGGTTAGGAGGGGTGGCCTTGTTGGAGGGGATGTGTCACTGGGGGGTGGGCTTTGAGGTTTCAAAGGTTTCAGCTCTCTCTCTCTCTCTCTCTCTCTCTCTCTCTCTCTCTCTCTCTCTCTCTGCAACTTGCAGATCAGATGTGAGCTCTCAGCTACTGCTCCTGAGCTGGACTGCCTGCCTGCTACTACACTCCCTTTGAAGGTCATCAACTAACCCCCTGAGACTATAGGCAAACCCCCAATTAAATGTCTTTCTTTTTAAGTTGTCTTGGTCATGGTGTTCTATCACAATAGAACAGTAACTAAGACAACAGTCAAGAGACCCATAGAGCTTGACTTGCCGCCAGTCTACAAGTGCAGCAATTTCTGACAATTGGGTAAAGTAGGCTGAAAACCAATACATAGTTACTCTTCCACTGGGGGCCTTCAGTAGTTAAGAATAGTTGCTTCCCTTCAACCATGGTTACCATGGTTACTATGAGGCGATGAGGCAGGACTTTTTTGTAACACTCCCAAGCTTCTAGGGTGTGGAAGCTCCTACTCTGTTGACTAATGAGATCTTGTAGATTGTATTAAATTTAGTAACTTGACCATGACTTATCATTTCCAGAAGACTGGTATATTGTCTTTTCTCTTTGTAGTCTTATTATCCTCAAGAGGCTGAGAAAGGAGGAATCTGAGTTCAAGATTTGCTTGGGCTACAGTGTAAGTTTAAAGTGAGCCAGAAAAATTTAGTGAGACTGTTTCAAAATAAAAATTAAAAAAACAAAATAAAAAAAATGGGGTGGGGTGGGCTAGGGTAGGGTAGAAGGAATGAGGACAGAGCTCCATTGAGGAATGTTGGTCTGGCATGAGCCCCGAGGTTCAAATTCTAGTAGACATAAAAATAAGAAACTCGGGAAAGTGAATTTAGTAGAAAATTAATTGAATGAGCCACAGATACTAGCATTATTCTTCCATTACATCATTTTTATTTTGTTCTGTGTGACACATGCTTTGCTAAGACGGTCTCTTACACTACACTGTCATAAGAGGACAGAGCTGACTCCTGACTCCATCATGATCTAGGACGTGGTGGTGAGATGCCCAGCCTTTATGCCATGGATTCCATCATTTGCAAAATACCTCTGCACAAAAGAAGTCTCGTGATTGTGAGGTACCAAGGAGGCAAAAGAATGTGATCTGCATGTGACCTGAGCCTAGTATTCCAACTGTATTCTTAGACAAGGAGACTACTGTCTGATAACTAATTGTGCACTTAATTTTCTCTATATTTGTATCTATTTTATTGGGGTGGGGGAGGCTGTGCCACACTTCAAGTGCTGAAGTCAAAGGACAACCTGCTGAAACCAGTCCTGGGGATCTAACTCAGGTCACTGGGCCTGGCAGCAAGACTTCTCCCCACAGAGCCATCTCACGGGCTTTGTGCACTTAGCATTCTGATAACTCTTACGATCATTGCTTTGAAGCTGAAAAGAGAGTTACAGGAGAGTACAGGACAGGAGACTTCACCCGGATCCTGCTGCATGAAGCAGGAACTTTTGACCTGTGAGCTGACAGACATGCTCCTGCCTCTGTAAACAGGTGGAGTAGAGAGATGGAAGCAGAAGCCAGTGGGAAGCAGGTGCACAGACCCTGTACGGCTGTACAAAGGCCACTGTGCCCAGAGGGCAGAAATGCCTAGCTGGATTAGGCAAGGATTACCATATAAGGATTTACAGGTATGTTGAGGATTGGGTTTTGCCCCAGGCTACACCATTGAGAGAACTTAACAGGAAGCAAATCGTCAGTTACATTTTTTTAAATTGTGTTTATTTCAGTATATTAATTATACATAATAACGGAGTTCACGGTCATTTTCATAATGTATATAATGTAATTTGATCATATTTACCCTTTACCCTCTCTGGTCCCCCTTCTGCTCCCGATGACCCTTTCTTGCCAACTCACCCTTGTCCACCCCACCCCACCCCACCCCACCCCACCCCACCTCACCTCTGCTTTCATGTCATTTTATTTCGCTTATTTTGTTTCTACATGTGACCCAGTGAGTTTCTTTAGAGCTGCTTACTGGAGCGTGGGCACCTCATGAGTGGCTACACCACTGAAGGGAATGTCTCCCCTCCCCCAGGTGCCTACAGATGCTCAGGACGGGGTGAATTCCTCCCCATCCATGGCAGAGTGTTGACAGTCCCAATCTTGTCCATGTCTTAAGCAGTTAGTCATAGGTGCTATGAGTTCAAGACTAACAGGATGGAGGAATGGGTCATCTTTAATTCCGGCTCTCGGGGGACAGAGACAGGCAGATCTCTGTGAGCGTGTGGTCAGCCTGATCTATATCCAGGCCCGGATAGGCCACACAGTGAAACCCTTAAAAAAAAATGTTGCGCCATTGAGTACATTGTAAGTTTACATAGGATCACATTGAGTCTTAGTAAAAAATAAATTGGAATAAGACAGAGATGGATTGAGAGGAACCACATGAGCTACGTTAATAGATTTACAAGAACTTCATACACTCTCAATTGCAGATCCTCATACCAACGATTTAAATCAAGAGAGAAATCTAACTGGAACAGGTTCTGTTTACTGTTTTACTGGGACATCCTAGACAGCAGGATTAGCTTGATGCTCCAGGTTCCAGGCCTGTGCCTGGTGTGACCCAGACCACAAGACTTGATCTTCCCTGCACTGGAGCCATGTTAACTGGTTCTCTGCACAGGCTTCCCTGAAGTCGGCTTCCTTCAGCCTCACGGCACCGGCCCCTAGACACTCCGACCGTTCTCACACACTGGTGGGCCTCTAAGGCAGCAGAGACTCTCTGCTTTCCCTCTCACTCCTCGTTTCTTCTTTGTTTGTTTTGTTTTGTTTCAGTTTTTTGTTTTTGAGATAGAGTTTGTCTGGGTACCTGGCTGTCCTGGAATTCGCTCTGTAGACCTGGGTGGCCTCAGACTCAGAGATCCACCTGCCTCTGTCTCCCAAGTGCTGGGATTAAAAGTGTGTGCCATCACTGCCCGCTTGTTTATTTTGAATAAACTACAGTACCTCCTACTGTACCCCGACTGTATTCTGTTTACCCAGTACCTCCTACTGCATCCCAACTGTATTCTGTTTATCCAGTACTTCCTACTGTACCCCGAC